GGAGCATTCTAAGCAGATCTGCATGGCCTTGATTTAGTCAAGAAACGGACAATAATTATAAGAAAGCAACACTTTAAAATGAAAATTTAAGCAGACAACTTTAGAATAAAGAGGCCAAAAAGAATTTTTTAGGGTTTTTAAAAATAAAGTCAGTACACTTTTTTTTATTTAGCCTGCAGGTCAAATTTCACATATTCCCATTTCAGAATACTTTAACTTTCCATTTTGATTTAGCCCTGTAGTGAATGCTAGTCCATAAATGAGAAGACACTGCCCAAAAATAAGCACAATAGACAACGGTGTATCCCGTGTTCTTGGCAGTGTTGACCCCAAGGACAATTTCACTGCTGAGTTACCCTAAGCTCCTATTTGGCTGCTGCCCTTTCTCACCCACAAATACAACATTTCTTCCTTTCATATCTAAAAGGCCTCAAATCCTAAGGCTAAACATTGTTGTTACTTGGCCTCTCACGCCATTTCCCCAACGAATTTACAATGAAAGAAACTTTCCCCACAATTGATTGTGAAAAGCCCATAAGGAAGCTTTGATCTTATTTTTTTTCTGTGCAAAAGAAAAGAGTTACATTTCCAGAATCACCAATGATACACACAGGATCACCACTGAGGGCACAATAATTCAAATAAATCTCAACAATGTGATGTTTAAGGCACAGGATCGGGCTATCTTGGCAAATAATTCTGCAAGGTGCAGCTCCACATGCCCCCTCCTGCAGGTGGAGGAGACAGTTTAGGGCACTCTGGTGTCTCCCATTCCTTTTTCCCCCCCCACAACATCCAGCTGAAGTTCTCCAGTCACAGAATCAGTCAGGTTAAAGGGTCAACAGTGGGTCATCTGGTCCGGCCTCTGATTCTCTCCCTCCCAGGACACCACAGCTTGCTCTTGTCAGAGGATAACATGACACTAGTTCAGTTTACAAGGCAGCTTCAGAAAACAGGTGGGGAAGCAAAAAGCAATGACTTTGAGGGAAGAAGCAACAAAATTCCAGTCTTCACTCATCACCAAAAAACCCCAACCCCAATCTTAGGACAGGCTCAAACCAAGGCTGCAGTGTAAACGTACTGTCAGTAGCAGTAACACAAAACCTCCCTCCCTACTTATTGAAAGTTTTAAACTATCTTTCAGTTGAAAATTCTGACAAGGTAACAGTGAGAAAAAAGAAGCAACAGGTTTATAAAAGTGAATAGCATGATGAACGACAGAAAAATCTGTATATGGGAAAACTTCCTCCTGCCTCGAGAACTGACTGAGGCACATTGCTCCTCACTGGCAGTCCTGTGATCCAGAAACTGTACTTGTTTTGGAAACGATGGGCTTAATTCCTTTACTCTTATTCACACTGAGCAGTACTCTTCTTCTTCTAGGGATTATTTGTAAACCAAGAAGGACAAAGGAATTAGAGTCACCAGATTGCATAGCACAAAAGCCACATTTCAAAATGCGAATTGTCTGTGAGTTGATAAATGCAAACACGAGGATTTTGGCCTCAAAGTCAGTCCAGACAACAGCTTTGGCAACTATAAACTGCGTCTTTCATGTGGAAGAGAACTCTGAAAACTAAACAGCAATTTAAATGTAAAAATTAGGTATTCTACTCCAGATAAGATCTTACTAGAGGGGGGCTGGTTGACTTCTCACTATAAATTTTTTTCTGTTTAACAAAGCCAGCCAAAACCCTCTTAAGTTGCATTTTATAAAAATAAACCAGTCTGTTATCAGCATAGCAGTGCTCCCAAGACAAATTACACCACTAATCATCTTATGCCAGGAAAACTTCCTGCTGTAGACACACAATTAATCAGACCAGAAATTCTACCCAATCTGCAGTGAAAGGTATTTCATATGTGGTTACCCTCTGCAGTGTAGCTCTGGCACAGACCCACAGGGCTGTGGTAGCACCAAAACTGGAAGCAGCTGCCTTAACAGGGAGCTGTGTCTCGGATAATTAGCCCTGCTGAAACCATCTCCCTCTATGGGACATTTACTAGAAACCACTTTTGGTAGGAATAAGAGAACTGAGGGGGTTTAAAACCCTGGGTCTCACATACACAGCAGGGTTAGGGGAATAAACAACAACAAAAAAAATCCAAAACCACACAACTTATTCTCCTTTATATCTTGTTAAGGATTATTTTCCTGGTTTTTGGTTTTGGGTTTTTTTTGCCTTAGTAACTTTGACTTGGAATAATATTCAGTATACACCTTCTGAAAATTCACAGGTCTCTGAAGAATGTCCAAGGAGATTTCATTTTGTTCTCTGAGTGATCCCAAACTGTAAAAAAAACCCCCAAAAAACACAAAAAAAACCCCAAACCCCAGCGGTTTCCCCAAAGTAGATCTGCCCTCTAGCACTTAAAAAGAAGTAATTGCTCAGGTCCTTCGATTCCAGTCAAGAAACAAATCACAAAGAATGCAGAAAGTCCAAAACAAACACACATTCTAAGAGATAAGCACACACTGACTTCTCAACATACCTTGCAAGCACCCTAACAATTCTTATTCTCTGCTGTTGGCAGAATACAGAGTGATCTTTCTGTGTGACTGTTGTAACTTGCTCTGTAATTCTGTGCCAAAACCAGCAATGTGGTAATGACATTGAATAGGTAATTAGTAACTATTAGAGCAGTATACAAACTAGGGCGTAGCCGAGGTGCGAGCATCTGTCTAAGCCACCTGGAGGGATTTGGCTTCCTAACAAAGCACCAGAGACGGTGGTGCCTCTGTAAAAGTTTGTGTAAATCACTCGGACGGGCTATCAAAGGGTAAAACAAACCTGAATTTCATGTTAAATCCTAGCGCATGAAAAATGTGAAGTAGGAGAAGAATTTTATAGCTTTACTGGCCTTTAAAAAAAAAAAACCACTAACAAAGGCACACACACCAAAACACAACACCTTTGTGGATGGAGGCTCAAGGAAAAGGGGCCTGGGGTCCTCTTTCCCGCTAAGGGTTTTTTAAAATGTCAGGGATTTGAGATACTCTGTGGGCTTCCCCAGCTTCAAGTGACATGGGAGGACATAGGTAAATGTATTTGTGTGTTCCACAGGGAATACACACAGCTTTTCTTTCCTGGGTGGCAGCAGCAGCCAGCTCAGCCCCAGAGCCATCACTTTTTTTTTCCCCCCACTCCCTGCTACCAGCAGCTGCTGCAAGAACAGGAATTCCAGTTTATTCCTCCTCAATAGCTAATGGAATTGTCTCTGCTTCTCCCCCTTTCAAACAGGGAAGAGGAAGAGGGAGAGATGACAAACCCTTGTGAACATAACATTTATGTGATATTAGAAGTGGTAATTGTTATGTTCCAAGAGGACTAGTGGAATATTGGTAATTTGGTAGATGTCACCATTGTTAAAGTCGTGTAAAAAACATTGGAAAAAAAATTCCAGAGCTGGTTCATACTGGAGAATCTTTCTGTGCTTGAAATAAGTCTGGGGACATAATATTGCTCAACGAGTAACAACAAATTAAAATACATTCATTGTTCCAATCAGATGAAGACAGCCCTCAGAGTCTCAACCTTTCCCCTTCCACAAAACTAGATGCCAAATACAGATCATACAGCCTAGACTTGATTCACAGGCCTATCACTGCAGTTCTTCCACAAGCATAACCTCTGCAAGTGCATTAGAATAAGATCAAGTAAACTGGAAATTCAGGCCTTCCCAGTTGTAGCCAAAAGGTACAAGGATTCAAAGGTCACCAAAAAAATCGAGTAGAGAGCTTCACATGGATGTGATACAAGGGGAGGTCAGCCCTCCAGAAAGCAGGGTTGTTTGCAAAGCCTGACAGTGAGGTTACTGGTTATGGAGTAAATAAAGCTGTAATACCCACACAGAGGTCCCCAGGTTTTAGCTACCACTGCAAAGAGAAACACTCAAAATGCTAAGTTATCACACATATGGAAAGCTGAAGAGATTGAAGGGGGATAACAGTCTGAGCAGGTGAAATTTCTACAGATTCATAGTTCTGTGACACATGAACAAAACACTGGAGAATTCTCTAAAACAAACTCAGGACTCGTTACTCCATATAAACTGTGTAGCACTGCTATTTCCTGCACCACAGATTTTAGAGTTTGTTTTGAAGTCTTTGGAGCCCAGAGGTTATTCTAAAACATACCTGAACAATCACAGCTCTACTACAGACCAAATACTGGCTTCTCACAAGTTATGTTTTAATATAGTCCAAGCAATTACTCCAAAGAGTATCTAATACAGACAGACCTGAAGAGGCCACTCTGTCCATTAACAGTTAACTCAGCAACATGTCTGTGCTTGTACCTGAGTTACCACAGCCTGGAGCAGAGAGCCATTTCAATAGAGCAAAGTGAACTACACCAACAGTTACTAAGGACTAGCTCTGAAACAGTTCAGCACTTCCCAGAGATATTGAACAGCTTCAGGTCTTCTCAAGGGCAGACAGAACTGAGAACATTACATAGACATGAAGACTTAAATACATGTACTTAAGATATGAAAAGTATCTGCTTATCAACTCATACCCAGAAAAAGTAAAATCCTACTGCTTTTAGCTATTTCTAGCTACCTTTTTGACCTACTAACTAGAGAAAGAGGCAAAAGCACAGTCAAAATGTCCTTACCTTAAGAGCTCTGCTGTGATGCTGTGTCTATAAACTCCAATAAAAGTCTGTATTTCTAGCACAGCTACTGCACAGACAAACACTAGCCCTGATTCCCACCTGGGCTGAAGAAGTTTCCCCTGGCTGCCCACCTGCTCTGCATTGAGAATCAGCTGTAATTATTTGCCCCAGCTGTGAGGGCAAGAGAGGGGCTTTCCCTGATCTGTGCTGGGGAGTCATAAGGGCCTAGAGCTGGAAGAAAAGATTGGGAGGAACAGTAGAAATGGTGCTACTGGGTTGTCTGGTTACTGGATTGCCTGCACTAAAAACAAAGAGCCTTTGGTAACAGCTGTGTTAAAGTCTGTAAAGTGTGAGATGCAATACCTGAAAATGTATTGGTAGCACTGCCAGAACTACAGTTACTGTAAATCTGCTGTGGTTGTTAAATGGTCAGTGAATATCTCTTATACGAGGTTTCCTAAAAAAAAGAGAGGAGCATAATTAGTGACAGTAAAATTACTGGTTGTGGAAAAGCAAATAGGGCAGGTCTGAGCTATTGGCAGGATAATCTACTAAAGGGAAACATCCTTTGCTATATCAGAGCTTAAAACAGGTGAAAAATAAACCAAAACTTTTCTCTAAAAAGTAAATAATATTAATCAACTTCTGATTTTCAAATAACAGTAGCCCCTTGTACAGACTATGTGCTTATTAACCATGATAGACGGAAAAGAGTCAAAACACTGTCAGTTTGACAAGAAAGTTTCAGAAATGCCAACAGTGAAACAAGTAGATACATCCAGCCTACATCCTACTCATTATAGGTATATCTCAGTCTGCCAGAACAAACTGATGGCTTCTGGAGATCAGTCTGAATGAGGTATTACAATGTTGGATAACCACTTGAGCTGCTTGTGGCACCAATTACAAAATCTTAGTTACCCGTAATGGGTAGAGAGACTTTTACAGAAATATCCTGAATCAGAATGTCAGAAAAAAGTGACTCTCAGAATACTAACAATTTCCAGGTCACTGTTCTTTATGCAAGTTCCTTCTTCAGTCCAGCTGAGAGAAAAACAAGCAACACAAACCAGGTTTGGGAGTGCAGCAAGGTGAAGGGATTGTCTGACTCCAAAAGCCAGCGCAACGCTTTTATTCTGTGCCAAATCCTCAGGGGCCTCTTTAAAATTCATCAACAGACAAAAAGCTACAAAAACAAGGGGGACATGAGTTCACACTAAAAAAACCCCACACCTCTCTCTGCTATCTCCACAGAGGTATTTTCTTCTTGCTGCCAAATGTGTTATCGTTCAAGATAACCACACAGCATTCAGGGTACTGCAACACCTCAGCAAGAAGCAAGCGTGCATTTGCCTCACAGACAGCTCCCTTGGCACATTTCAATAGGGTTGTGGAGCTTAATGAGCTGCAAAGAGATATCATCAGGGCCACACGAAGAATCTCAAAGCCTTGAACTGAAGTTTAAATACCAACTAGCATAAAGCAGTCCTCTGCTCTCTGCAAGTTTCTGTGGGAAAGTTTTGCTGTTTAAGGGAAAGACTGTTTTAAAAATGGTTATTGGAGAGCCTACACAGAAGGCAGTGGCCAAAGTTTGTTTTGCTCTCTTCTAACTCATAGAGCTCAGCAATACTGACTGAGCATACAGGCAGGCTGAGGACCACAGTCAACCTTGCTGTTAGTGATGATAGGAACTAAAGGATAAGTAGAAATATCACCAAAATCCCCTTCTTCCCTTCTTGTAAGTGAGGCTCACTTTATTTTAAAGTTCCAAAGATGCAGCTGAATTTTTCTACAAGGGCATTATTTCAGTTCATAGGCAGCTTTCCATCACAGCATGTTTTACATAAAGACATCAGCTTTTTTTTTTTCCTACCAGAAAAAGACAAAAGAGTACAAAATTATTCTGATTACACAATGTAATAAGTCAGTAGGCCAGACAGCTTAAGCCAATTTTCCAGGGCTGCACAAAACACCATCAGAGCCAGGATCAGAACATGAGTCCTATTTTTGTTTCCTGCCCTATCTGAAAGGTTTGCTTCCTACAATATTAATAAGAAATGCCAGTTACAAAACACATTATCCTCTTTGGCAGATGGCAGATGTACAGGGATCCTTCTCTAACCAGCTGTGATGTAAAAACAGGACGTCTGTTTGAAACATCTTCAATGTTGCTTCAGATGGGCATTATACTTCTTCAACAGTCCAGAAATGTTTGGGAAAACATTATACTTGATTTCTGAGCACACTGGCAGGTATAAAATGAGGTGTTTCAATAGTCTGTTGATGTGTAAGACCTACAGGCATTTTCCAAAGGCAAGGTAGCTGGGATCCCATATGGTACAGCCTTTACAAGACACAAAAGCTTCTGCCAAAACACACTGATCTAATGGAACAACAGCAGATAAGCCATGACACCTATTACAAACCTCTGAGAAAAATAAACTGTGATCCTGTTTTTTCCTAATTGCTTTTAGTCCACGGAGTGTTGCTCTCTGCTAGGAAAAGAAATCTGTGCCAATTCAGCTACCATTCAGAAAATCTCCCCATGCATTAAGACTATAATACTAGGTTTTTTTATTATTTCCCATGCTCCAGAGCCATGACACATGGAAAGCAAATGGTTTAGCATACACTAAGGATAACATGCTTAGACAGTGTCAAGTAAGATCACAAGGAAGCAACCTCTCCTTCTTTTAATGTGGCTCTGAGTAAAGCCCAGAAGATTTTTCTCTCCTCTTCAACAGGAAAATATCTTCTTACTTGGTGCTGCCCACATACTCAAGGACTGGAATTACCAGGAGTGAAGGGATTCAGGAGACATAAGGCCCCTGATGTTTTTGACTCATGCTGTGTGTACAAAAAATCACCTGCTAGGGAATACCTGTACCCTGCTCTGCCTTTCTCCTGCCCACTCCTTTTGAAAGGTTCTTCCTACCCCTACTCTTTTTCTGTCAGGCATATTTTAAAATGGAAAAAATTGTCATTCCTAATTAAATTAATAAGACTTAAATGGAAATGCAGTCAGAGAAGTGTTCCTATAAAAGTAGCACATTCCTATCATAAACTTCTGCTCTCTGTGCATTTAGTGTCATCTGTTTACCTGGCTGCTTTGTCTCATGTATCACTAACTGAACTGTTAATTAGTGTCCCAGGTCTGCAAGCAGTGTGAAGCAATTTCTGCAACTGGTACCTACAGTCTGTCTGATGTATCTTTACTACTGAGGGTTGCACAACCTTGACTCCAAGTAAGCAGAACAGGTTTGGCAGATAAAGAACTTTTATGTGAAAATTGTAATCTGAAATCAACATGCTGCACTGATAGAGGGCCTTTAAAAATGTCACTTTTCTGAAATAGAATCTAGGCTACCACACATATTCAAAATGAAAAGGAATGGTTCACTGGGAACCTATCCTGGAACAAGGCCACGAGTCACAAAAGTACTGCAGAAAGTTTATGCATGCAAGTAAGCCACAACATATCAGCTGTCTGTTGTTTCTATTGCCTGACCAACATAATAATTATACACAAGAGCACAAATTGAGGGGCTTTTAGCAGGTGTTCGTGGAACTACTTTACTTGCTATCTCCTCTGAAGTATTTAAAACCTAATGTAAACTTATGAGCCGAATTATGAATTTTGCCTTAAGATTTAGAGGAACACACAATGGTTTTACTGGTTTCACATGCTTTTTCAGAATGTCAAGAATGCATAGCAACAGCTATCCTGTAATCTATTAGTATTTCCTTTAAAAGCTAATTGATTCATATCTTGGAAAACATTTATAGACTATAAACTACATGACAGTTAGAAGTTATTAAACACCAGAGTAGATGTGTCCTTCTCAAGATGTACGACTGCAAATCAGATCTCACTTGCTGTCCTGTGTCTAACACAGCTGAAAAGTGCACGATATAATCACATGTTTTAGAGTAAAACACAGCATACAACTGCTCCTATCCACAGCAGCAGCAGATGACTTATTGTTGACTGAAATGAAACACAGTCCAGGTCATATTGCCCTTCCATGAACAATGTGCTGCCCAAAAATAACGTTTCATTTTGGTTTCAAATTTCTCACCTTTCAACTCAATAATTTAAGATGAGGCACAAGTCAATGTGATCAAAGAAAGAAGGGAAGAAAAGGGGTGGTTGGCTATGGCATATTGGCCAGAAATTTTCAGGGGGGGAAGAAATAAGGGAGATTGGCTGGCAATGGGCAAGGAGCTAGGAGCAAGAATATGTTCCTGATGATAGGAAGACAGATGGACATAAAGACAGACAAAACATTAAGACAAAGAGAAGGGAGCAGGAAAGGGATGAGTGAGGCACAGAAGCTGAAAAGAAGCGAAAAAGTGTGAGAAAATCAGTGCAGTAAAATAAAATGACCTTTACTATTGTTCTGGCTAATTATTGCAGGCTCCAGTGTTTAATCATAAAAGATGACCAGAAGAACTAAATACTTAAGGGTAGAACAACAGTACCAGCTGCAGAAATGTTTCACAAACAATTTCAAATGAATACAAATTGAGGCATTTCCTCAAAGCGATATTTACATTCATAAACATGCATGTGTCTACATGGTTTCTTTGCTCCTCTAGCAGCTACAAACAGCATCATAGTTCAAAAATTCACTTTTCTGGCACGCAAAAAGTTCATGTTTCAACACGTAGAATTCCAACTTTCAGAAAACAAATTTATGATTAATCTGAAAATACATGCCCAAGATATACATCTATATTAAATCAACTATGCTTATATCAGAAAGATTTACCTTAACAATTTAATTAAGATGCTGATTTATAAGGAATTTCCCCCAAATCATTCACTAGGAATGAAAAACATCCAAAGTAGTAGTTTCTGTTCACATAGACTTCTGAGATCATTACACTAATCATTCCCCTGAGAAGGGGAATAACTACTCACTACATCAAATGTAATTTTTTCTATGTAACTAATGGTAGAACATACCTTTGACTTTATGCTTTTCTTTTCTATGTGTACCTGTATTTCACATGGGCTTCTATTTAAACTACAAAATCATCCAGGCCCATCTAACTATTTGTATATTCGTCAGTTTGTTTAGAAAAATGCAGAAGACAGGCGTGTTTCTTCCTCCATGATTAGAAAGAAGTAGAATATGTTGAGACATTACCCTGCCTGAGCAGCATATAGAACAACAGGCACACCAGAATGTTACCTAATAAACAAGGTCGTTCAAAGATACAAGGAGTCAGAAATGTTTCTAGGGTTTTCTCAGCTTCAAAATAAATGCTGCCTGATGATCTCAAGTTTCCAGTTGTCCTTGCTCTGTATGGGAAGGTCAGCCAGGTGTTGAGAGTGACAGCACAGCAGGCAGGGCAGTGACCTTGCCACAACAGTCCCCCCACTGTTCAAACAAGGACAGCAAAGCAGGACCAGGGATGGGGACAGAGCTGGGCAGGAGTCCAGACTGCCAGACAGCTCTGTACCGGTGAGGCAGGTGCCAGGCCAAGCCTGGAAGCCAAAGGCCTGGGTTTAAATGCAGCTCCTGAGTCAGTGGGCAGAGGTGAAAGGCTGGAGGCTGCAGGTGAGGCTTCTCACAGCTCTTTCTCACCACTGAGTTGCTTCCAATTCTGACAGATCAACCTCACAGCTTGACTGTTCCACAACAGCCTAAATAAAAGTTATATGGCTGTGCCACACCAGAGGTGACTTCAAACACAGACATCTAAATGCTTCATTTAGATTCTTGATTTAGATGCAGAAGAGGCTGCAGAGGAAAATCACAGAGAGAGATGGTTTCTGACCCACCGGGGCAATCTGTGTCTGTCAGTGCCCTGACAGCAGCAAAGCTCTGAGTGTAACCTGGGGGCAGCAGACCTTGGAAGGGCCCAACAGCTGAAGACTTGTGTATCTAGTTCAGCAAATCTCTGTGAGACAGTTTAAGGGACAGAAACAGAAGAGAAGGAAGTTCAAGATCCGCTATGATTTGTTCTTCTTCTGTGATAGACGCTCAAAGTAATGAAACCAAAATACAATCACTAACTGGATTTCGTTTACCCTGGGTCCCAAATACCAAACTGCTCCACTTGTAACCCTTTTATTCCTGCACTCTACGCAGTAACACGATCAAGAATAATGCCCCATCTCTGTACATAAACAGCAGTTTATATGTGTCCCCAACAGAAGCATTTTCTCCCTCAGACATATTTTGCTCCTCTTTTTTTTTCTCACGGATTAGCTTTTAAAACCAATGAACACTAATACTTTGTACTTAACCTTCAAAGCTTCTCAAAAACTTCAACTCTAAAGGAAGTTCCAGCATGGTATTATACCCCTTTCACCAATCAGGAAGTCAAAAAAGTAAGTCCACAGATTTTATGTTCACTGAACAGATGAAAAAAAACCCCTGATCCTAGTCTTCTGCCTAAATTCTCAATAAATTCAAAATTTATTTAGATCGAGATTCTCAAAAATCTAAAAGGAAATAATACAGTAGGAAATGCCTAATCATTGCCAGTTATGTCACTGAACATCACTGGGCACCCTCCACTTCCAGTGCTAGTTTTAATAAAACTGCAACTAGGCATTTAGTTTCACTAAAAATCTGTTTAGTGTTATCTTTAGTAATTTTTAGAGGAATTAGGAAGTCAGTAATATAGCCCTAATCAGGATTCAAATTATTGCCTGTCAAATTTTTGAGTTATTTTGCAGGCAGAGAGCTGTCCTGGACTGCCTGTAGTGCCTTTCAGATGTGCACTAGAGCACTGAATATTGGCACAGTGCAATAAGTTGTATTTTATCTTTTCTCCCTTCATGGAAAGATATCAGACTTTGCTAACACCAGCCTCAGTGATAGACAGGAAATAATGTTTTTTGAAATGGAATGAAGATGCACATAACATAACATTCATCTAAGGATTCTTCCAGCTTGTTCTTTGACATGATGGTAACTTTTTCCCAAATCAGACTTGTAAACCCAGGATATTCATATAGAATCAACAACTTCTAAAATGGGTATATCTCTCTCATATTTATCATAAAAGTATAAAAACTTGTCTACTTGCAGTGGTAAAGCATATAAAATTGAAGAAAAAATTATATTCTCAGCTCTCTTCTAATACCTCATCTTGGCAGAAGTAGCTTGAACAGATAGAGAATGTTAAACAGTGAATTAGTCTTTAATTCCAGAAAAAAAAAGTGCTGGATCACCCAATATCACAACAAAAAAATGCAAAGAAGTTTAAAGTTATTCTTTCTGTTAAAGATTTCAGTTGTTAAAAGACATTTTAGGGATTTAATGGTTCAGCCAGCCATCTACAGTAGATTGGAATTCAAGCCATGCTTTATGATTCCATGCTTTGGAAAGGATGAAAAGTCCTCATAATGGGGCAAACAAAAAAAGAAATAATAAACCCCCAAATTAATATGCAGACTTATGAGGATAAGAAAAAAATACTTAAGTGAGTGAAAATCAATAGGAAGAGAAGAGGTAAGGAGCATCAAAAGTTTGATACTTTTGAATATATATACTCTCTTTTGATTTACTCTCTTATGAGAGAAATTACCATATTTTATTGATTTCAAATATGTTTTAAAAGATCAACAGAAAGAAATCTATACCAGTATTTTCACTTACGGTCTCTATAATGCAGTAGTTAGTTACAATGCAGAAATCAAGTTACAAAAAGCAACTAAAATTATAATGTTGATGTGTTTAAAGTACTTATTTTTTAATAAAATTAGCTCCAGCCAGTCCTACTACAAAATTGTTATAGAAGTTCCAGTTGAAATAATCAACTGTCAAGCAAAATGAGCTTTAAAACTCCAGGAGTATGAAGAAAGAACATTTTCACTACTTGTAGATACCTTACATTGCAAAAAAAGTTCCAAGGAAGGTGTTTAGTGTACTTTGTTCTAAATAAGGTACAATTTGGTGCACTTTTATGTGCTGGAATACAGTCACACATTTGGCAGATATTGCATAAGATTTCCTAAGCTAATATAATGTTTCCAGCTCCTGATAGCCAGGATAATTTTATTATTCTGTTGGTTCAACCTGCTATGTTTCAAAAAATGTTGCTGGCTATTCCTAGTCTCCTTTAACTCTCAGGTGCTCAGAAAGACAGGATAGCAAACAATATTATTAGTAAATATTTTAATATTACAAATATGCCACACTGGCTTACAGGACACCTGCAACCAGTTTGGAGCCCAGTGAAAGGACAAGCCATCATGGGCTAAAAGACATAGAAACATTGCAACTTTACACTTTCTCTAAACTTCTTAGGTGACAAGTGTGAATAAAAATGAAGACATCTGTATTTTTATCCTCTGTTCCCCTTCCCAAAATAATTGTTTTCCTGGTATACACGTTTCTCCCAGTGGACAAAATTTTCTGCTAGCTTCTATTTAACTCTTATTTCATCCAATACTTACTCTGCATCTTAATATCCACTGCATAAAGTGCACTTGTATCATTAAATGTATCGAACATAATGGCTTTACAAATACTCAAGGAAAAGATTAAAAACTTACTGAGCTTTTTAACAGGGTTTTCTAAAAAAGCAGATTATGCACAGAAAGCCTCTCACCAGGGAACCCAGAAGAGGCCCCTGTGGTGTTTCCACACCCAGTCAATTAAAGGATTACTACTATTAAAAAACAAGTCTTTCTTTGGGACTATAGATTTAAGCGCATTATCTGAAATTGGTAGGGATCATCTTTGCTTGTAAAATGCCAGTAGGCTTACTGACATCAAATTTTGAGCTAGGTATCTTGGAGGTCAGCATAAAAATTCTGAGAGGCTTCCACAGTAAGACAGAACAGATCTTATACCAGCTTCTATTAGTGCAGAATTGTAATTCCTATATTTTGAGTTGTTTTTTTTGACAGGACCATTTATCAGCAAACCCCTTCCATTTTCTCTCCAGTGGCTAAGAACTTGTGTCCAAACTGGATCTCATTTCTTGTGCCTAAGGCAATTGTTCCTAAAGAAAAGGATTCATTTGGCTATCAAAACTATGTGTGCACAGCACAATATACTTTTTTTTTTTCAGTTTTAATTTGAAATTGATTCAATGCTGATACTAATTAAATGTCAATAAGGTGTTTGCTGTTTTTATATTATGGAGTGCTGTAACTGCTTTGGTAGCTAAAGGCCAATAGGTTGATGAAAATAAATCAGGCATGTTAAGAACAGAAGAAATACTATGGGTATTACACAGGCATAGTTGTTGTCATCACTGAGGACTGGAAAAAGGCAGAAAGTAGGTGACTATAATAGGACAGACTTTTATATAGAAAAATGTAAAAGACAAATAACAGAGATACATGCATTTATGTACTTCAGGCTCAGCCTCTGACCTTCATGACATCACCCAATCCACAATAACTCTTTGGCTCATAGATTGGCCAAGCACAAACCAAAATTGCTATGAAAGAGGGTGCAATGTCTGTATACAGCCACCTCTGGATTAAGGCTTTAGGGCTCTTGCAAACTTAATTTACTGAAGATGTATTGCAAAAGGTGACAAATATGGTTGGCATTTGGCCATTAACTATCTACCATTCATTATTTCCTCACAAAGGTCAGAACTTAGGCTTTGTACCTAAAACCAGCTTCAAGCAAAACATCTGGGGGGGCAAAAGCTTCAGGGACTAGTTCTGCAAGCTTTTTCTGAATGCCTGAGTCCTGCACTGCCTCTTGGTTTCACAAACTTGAGTGGAGACACTCAGCAATAGTTTGTCCTAAAGACACTCCCATGGCATCAAGAAGGTACGAGGAAAGCAAAACAAAACAAACTAAAATAAAGGGATACCCTTTGGCCAAAGAAATCAAGCTTCAAGCACTACTCATGCAACATACCTCTCTCTCTGTTAAATGTGGCAAGTAGCTGACAGGATCAAAAGTAGCTGTGGTCTGGATGTGCCTGCATTTTGAAAAGAAAAGAAAAAAAAAGGGAGCAGATGGATGAAACAAAGTATTTAAGCAGCTTACTTGGCCGTAATACTAAATTTTTTCACTGGACCAGCAAATACTGGATTAGTTATGAGTCCTGCCATGGCAGGTGGCACCTATAGTTCTGGCAATCATAGAAAGCATTTAACTGTACCTAAAAAGTTTAGATAAAATAAAGAAGCCAGTTACAAAGGCTGGGACATAGCCATCTTTGAAGTGATATTACTACAGAAGTTTAAAAAAAATGGGATAAATGTCTGCTTAACATTACTAAAAAATAGAATGCTGTGATCAGAAAGGTGCTGATTTTATATACAGAGATTAAATGTATATCTCAATATTTATTATTATACTTAAATTCCTTGTAGAATATATTTTGTCTGCCTTTATCCCATAGCAGGGTCATTCTACTTGTGTTTTTTAAGTCCTTTTATCTTAATTAGAGAATATAGAACTACACAGCAAGCTCTTCTCCACAGAAATACACAATGTTAATGTAAGCTAAGCAGTTAAAGTTCTATAGTAAAGTTCACTGAAAAGAAGGGGATATAAAGCAAGTAAGAGGTGGGATTTAAAATACTTCAATGACACACATAGTCTGAATACCTTTAATTTTCCTGATCAGCTCCAGACAGACAAGATCTAAAAACATTCAGGAGAGTTACTGGTCCTGATCATGCTGAACAGAACTGCTCATGCAAAATACACAGAATCAAAGATTTATCTGAGAAAATCTCAAACCTTTCTAATAGGGCAATTTTGGAAGTTTTTCATCTACAAACTGAACTGTCATTTACATGACTTATCAATGTGCACAGGCAAAGCTCAGCATTTCAGAAAGCACCTGCAATACCATACTACTACCTTCACCTAATCTAAGTGAAGTCCTGAACAAATGTCTCTGGTTTTCTCAGTAGCTTTATTTGTGCAGCCAGAGTAACAAAGCAAGTCATGATGATATCCCATGATATTAATCTTGAGCAGGCCATGTGAAGCACTCTAATCACCACTCAACCTTGCTTCCTAATTAGTTCTCTATGAAGTTATTCATATGCAATCTGTTTTTCTTTGGCAAGGGATTGTTTACAACAACCTCAAAACTTACCTGTAAAAATATTGATAAAATAAACTTTATCTTCTTCTGTTAGAACAAAATTGACTGAGAATCAGCTTTTAGTGGAAAACAGTCTCCAGTTAAACAATACAAGAGCTACCATTGCTCCATCACATGAAACTTTATGCCATGAACAATAACATAACCACTGGGACAAAATTTTCCTTAGTGCATATGGTCACTGCTGACTTTTGGAAATCAGGTAAGATGCCTCAGGGTAAAAAGGACATTTCCCATCTCATTACTTCAAGCATTTTCAGAAATAAAGGGGAATGCAATGTCACCATCTAGAAAGAAAGAATGTGTTTATAAAGTTTTATTTAACTGACCTACAAGCATTGTTTTCCACTGCTTTTATCCAATTGGCTCATGTTCCTGGCAAAAATGCAATCTAAAACGATTTCTAACTTCTCTACTTCATCCTCTGCAAAGTATAGTACCCACTTCATCTGAAAAATTAGCTTATCATTAGATCTGTGGCAATTTCCCTCACAGATGGTCTTTCTTTATCTTTTCAATTCCTTAATTGGATCTTTATTTTGCAGCGATCAAGCTTAATAAAGGTCCATTTCACAAGATATCCTTCTTACAGTTATCACATTGTCTACAAATGTAGTTTTCAATTCCAAACATTCTTTAAGGAATGTTTCTTTAAATATGCTAAATTTATACCTAAACACTTTCTAATTCAGTTTTGCATAGTCTCAGAATACAATAAAAACTTTGCAGACTGTTTTTGTTAATAATTACACAAATGGGAATGTTTATAGACAGCCTTTATCTCACCATTTTTGCCAAGTTTTCCTTACTATTTACTTTTCATACTAATTCTTCATCCAATACTTATCTGCACATTTCAATTTCAAATTAATTTTCCTATAGACCTCTGCACAATTAGAAGTTATCAGAAATCAGTGACATATAGTAATGTTATACACTTGCAAATTAAACACATCAAAATTTATTCTGCTAGAGTAGTGATTAACCATATTACAAAATTAGTTTCTATGATTATTTTCTCCAGACTAAACAGAAATCTCAACTAAATTGCTTAAGAGAAGTTCAATACAATTCACTCTTCAAAATTATATCAGAAGGGAAAGTCAAGGTTTACTGCATCTGGGAAATAATTTCTTGGATTATGCTAACATTGATTAGAAAGAGAAATAAGTATTTGGGAATCACAGAATCACAGAATGCATAAATTTGGAAGGAACCCCAGAGGGTCACCTGGTCCAATCTCCCTGCTCAAACAGGATAAAAACTAAAAGAAACAGAATCTAGGAAGTTGCCATCACCCTATTCGGGAAATTTACTTGGAGTACTTCAATACATTGTTATTTTTTGGTAGTATATGTGCTTCTAACAAAAATACTGCTGTTTCCTGTAATAATGTAATCTCCTTCATGATCCCCAAGAGCCCACAGTGTCCTTCTCCCAGCTTGTGATGAAGATAATAAGAAATTTTTCATAGCATTCTAGGGCTGCAAACTACTTCCTTCCAGAAGCCTCCCATATTATCATTTCCAAAGCTGTGTAACCTACTAAGTTCTAATAGGATTAACTTGGTATCAACTGTAACATGAACTAATGGACATGTAATGAAGTAGCTCAAAGCCACTGTGATACATAAGTAGATAACTGGATAAGTTTCCCTTCCAATTGCTCATCACCCAAACATTTTGCTTTTTTCTAAATTGTTTGATTTCACAGACAAACAGAAACTGGGGAGAGGAACCTAGAAATTTGTGAAGTCTGAAAATTACGTAAAAACAATACAACCTGCTTATACTTCTTTGGAAATTCTATTAGTTGACTATCCTAGCCATTACACACTTCTAGATCATTGAAAATATGACCCTAATTCTCATTCTCAGATGAGATTTACGCCAGATTCCTCAAAAGAAGGGCTTCAGTATTGCTCTATTGAATACTGCAATGCCTGCCTGTGTGTGCAATGCAATGGAAAGTGTCCTGCAATGGAATGGGAATCAGCACTTGGACCTGCACCAAAATCTTGGGCGAGGCAAAGCACCTCACAAAGACAGATAGATGATATTCAGGGAATTTTGGGTGTCTGTTGTTTTTAAGCTGTTAGTAGAGCAGTAGTTTTGAGAATCTCAGAGGAATCTAAAATTAGCCTAAAGTATCTAAATAATAATTAAATTCTTATGCTATGCTAGCATGCATATGGAGAAATACCATAACCATATCTGAAAAAAACCTTATTACTCCTACACACACACAAAAATACTACTATCAACTCACCATCAAGAAAAATCACATTAGATGGACTGATAGGGAGGAGACAACATTCAGTCACAACATTCTCCTCGTGAGCTTTAGTATATAATATTGTAATGGATAAGTTTTACTTAGGGCATGTGACTACAGTGTCTTTAATAAGAGTCATGTTTAGTGCTGGTTGAACTTAGTGCCGTTTAGTGGTAGCCAAGAATTCTCACAAGCTTTGTAAAATCAAGTTAGGACTGTTATTATATAGTCAAACTGCAGCAGAATTTAGAGATCCCAATTAAGAAGGAATGAAATAGCACTTGGGATTTTTAGTTAATACCGTGCATTAAATAGGATAGGGGGAAATTTGAAGGTACTTGCTGGAGACACTTAAAAGGGGAATAAAGACTGGCACAGAAGATGCCATACAGTCAGCAGTGCAAGCAAATAAGAGATGGTAAGGTGCGGCCTAAAAAGTTAAAGAAAATAATCCCACAGTACAAGAGGCAGAACAATGGAACATCAAAACAACAAGAAGAGAAATATTTTAAGAGATACACATGTTGCAAGCCAGTATTTGTTGAGACTAGAAGGAGGATGACTGGAGTTGTCAAGACATGAAATGATAAGGGCCCGAGCGAGAGTTCTGGTCATGTGAATGGAAAACAAAGGCTGAATCAGACCGAGATTGAGCAGGAAGAAGTAAATCTACCCTGTTAGCTGTAAGAAAAAAAGAAAAATTAAAAGGCAATGAAGTCTGGTGTGAGATAACATGTATGATCACGTATTCCTGATATCATGGCATTTAAGGTAACAACATCATAGATTGAGTTCTCATTTGATTGGTAGTTTCAGCTTCTTAACCAGATATCTTTGGCAAAGCCAGGCTGAGAATACAAATGACGTGTTGGAAGGAGGCTTTGCAGCTGGTGCTGCAGGCACAAGACATATCTCCTCAAGTGTTTCCTAAGAAAGGGTTTTGATGTCACAGTCCTGGTAGAAATATAGTCTTCATATTTTCCTTTTCTTTCTCTAAGTCCTTGTTGACAAAAATACGTCCACCACTATGCTGATGGAGACTTCCAGTGTTATATTGCAATCTTCATCTCGGTCCTGTGGCATGGTGTGCATTAAATCTTTTCAATCAGGTTTGTTTTCCTTCAGCAAGTACAGTTTCATATTCTATGCAACTAAAAAAAGCTTAATCCTTTTATTTAAAAAAAAAATAAAAAATTAATAGAAAAAAATTAACCTGCATTTAATTTTCTTCTTTTTGACTAGAATTCTGTGTTCAGTTCAAATGAGTGCTTTAATTTTTGACCTATTCTTAAAGTGACTCATTGTTGTCCCATTGATTACCCATCTCATAAGAACATGTTAAAACTTGGAGGAATCAAAACCTTAATGTTAAAAAACACTCACTCCAAAGGCTGTCTGCTCATTAAAGACTACACTAGCCTTCTGAAAGGAGAGATCTTTGGCACTTTCGTTAAAAATATCCCATAAAATCAGTCAACTTTTCATCGAATTGCCCTGCATTATGAAATGTGAAGGTACATCCGTGCTCTCTTGGCATCCTTATGGATTATGACCCTAAATTCAAGTTTCGAGATGACTTTCAC